AAGTATGCAGAGCAGAACAGCTGTGTGGTCACTCTCCCTAGGATGCAGGAGATGGCAGTTATGCTCCCATCTCTGGACACTGTGGACACTCATACTCAATCAGGGAGGTTGATATCTGGTTCCATGTGGAAACAGAGGTTGGAGGTGGACAGAGGAGAGACTTGGGAGTCTACAGCTTACTGCTGTTACCCCACTGAGTGGGGGAAGGGGGAGAATTCCAGGGCCATTGTGAGCCAGGGAGTCACGCCCAGCCAGCCGAGAGGGACAGAGGAGAGACTTGGGAGTCTACAGCTTACTGCTGTTACCCCACTGAGTGGGGGAAGGGGGAGAATTCCAGGGCCATTGTGAGCCAGGGAGTCACGCCCAGCCAGCCCATTGTCTTGGTCAGGCCAGAGGTTTCAGGCCTGGAGCCCAGAGGACAAGGGGGAGGGGCAGGACCTGCCTTGGCCAAGAAGATTTGCAGTTTAAACCTGAGGGGCCAAAACTGCAATGGTGTGGAGCCAAAGAAGGGGCATGATGGGGAATGTCAATATACACCTGGGATAGGATTGTTCTTGTTACTGATGTTAATTCTTGTAACCAATGGATTATTGTTGCAGAGAATCGTAAGGGTGTATGATGTGCCTGAGTCAATTAGTTCTGAGTCTTACCAAGTTGTACCTTGGGATTCTAACACAATGCAAGGATGTGGTTGTCGCTATGACAGACCTTGCAGTAATGAAGCCTATTTTTGGCGAACTGGGTTCTCATACACTGATCCAGCTCTGTACTGTTGTTTCTAACATTGGGTTAGAACACGTGATGACAGAGCCAAAGAATGGGGAGGCCTGTGATGCCCTCAGTGATGTTACTGGCATCACTTCCTGAATCAATTTTGCATTGGGGGTGTCACGTTACTGGATCTTGAGGGGAGCAGCCAGATCACTGATGCACCCATAGGTGGGGGTGTTGGCCCCAAGAATGGTATAGAAGGGGGCCATGTGAGGTGCTGAATAGAAGCTTATCTGATAATCCTATGTAAGCTATTTATGTGGTTGTATAATGTCTGTGTGTAGTTAGGAATCTGTAGTCTGTGTGGATACTGAATATTTCTCTGCATGTGGCTGAGCAGTGGGCAGAGCCCAGGCCTGTGGACATGCTAATTAGCGAGGCCCTGTGGGACAATGGCACTCGATGGGCCAAGGACACACCTAAAGTATGAGGGCGGACATCTAAGAGCGGCCAGCAGAGAGAGTGAGGACCATGTGATCTCCTGTAGCCAAGAAGAGGTCAGAAAGGAGGTATAAAGAGGCCATGTGGTCAACACCATCTTGGTTCTCAGCTCAGCACTTCATCCCAGAGGCAGCAGTGCAGGGATCGAAGAGCCCGGAAGACCTGTGGACCCATCCTGATGCTAGGATGTGCAACAAGAACTTGTAAACCAGCAGCTGTAACATCTCTGCTAGAGCCTGCATCGAGAACTGGGAGATTCGATGCATGTAACGTACTATCCTTTAACAACCTTACTCTCATGCTTTTCTTTCTTGTGATAATAAACCTTTAGTTGTTAGATGCTAAAGGATTGGCCCAGCATGATTTGTGGGTAAGGTCCAGAGGGTAAATTGACCAGGGATCTGTGGCTGGTTTCCTGGAACCGGACAGAACTTGTTCGGGGTAGGTGGGATTGGGTGCTAGGACCCCCCACCTGTGTATGAGGCCCGGGGCCATCTGGGGCACGGATATTGCTGGGGTGTGGGAGGGGTTTTGCTCGGGAGGCTTCAGGCAGGCAGCTGAAGCGCTCTGTGGGACTGGTGTGTGGCCTGTTTGGAGAGGTCACCAGTCTGGGGGCTGTAAGGAGCAATTCGCCCTGAGCGGATGCCCTCAGCTGTGCCCAGACACGGCCCGGTCCATCACAGCTTCTCACAGAGGAGTGGCCACCCCTTGGGCTGGCAGAACGGGGTGTAACTCCTGGGGCCCTCTACCTCCTTGTGCCCCCTCAGGGACCAGTCAGCCTCTCCCCGTTCCTGCCCCACTGGCTGCAGGGCTCTGCTCTGCCCAGCTACTGCAGCCCAGCCTGCTCTCTGCTCAGCCCCTCCCTGAGCCCCCCTGCACACGGCCTCCCCAGCGCAGCACTGCCCCCCCGCCTGCCCCCGCCCCTGCCAGCTCACTCTGGTCACCTCCCACCCTGGGCTGGCCAGACGCTGCCTCGCACCCTCCCGCTCAGCTGACTGGGGAAGGGGCAGGCAGCCGAGTGGTGCCCACCAGCCCCGAGAGCCTGGCAGTGCACGTGGGATCCGTCGGTGGGTGGGACGTGGCCATTCCCTTTGGGTCTGTCCAGCTGGCTCCGGAGCACCCCGGTTCAGTCCCGGTGTGTGGGCCAAGCCGGGGCTGTCGCATACGGACAGTGCAGCCACCAGGGCGCTCAGACAGGGCCGATGTTCAGGCCCCAGTCCTGGGGGACCCAGGTCGAGGACACAAGGATCGTCCCTGCCCCAGGAGCCACGAGGCCGCTTCCTGGGCAGCAGCAGATGGGTCAGAGCTGAGGGCTCCAGGCAGCAGAGGTGCAGCACGTTCAATGAGGGGGAGGTGACTACAGCAGGCAATAGAAGAGGGTGTGGGGGGCACCCCCCTCCCCCGTAGCTGCACCAAATAGCTCAGCTGCTTCCTCCCCGCAGGGTCAGCCCTCGGCCTGGGAGCAGACGGACGCTGAGGGTGAGTCCAGGCCCACAGGCTCCGGGGGCGAGATGAGCGACGGGAGAGGAGGCATCAGGCGGCCCCATCGCTCCTGCAGCTGGTGCAGTTAACACAACAGCGGCCAGTGAGACGGAGCACGGCGGCCGCGCTGGGCCCCAGGGGTGCACCTAGAGCAGCGGGGTCCCTGGAGCCTGGCAGCGAGCGGTGCAAGCCGAGAGGAGAGTGCTCAGGCGCCCGCAGCCGGGCTCACAGCTGGCCCTGCGTGTAGTCGTAATACTCTGTGGAGAGACAGGGAAGGCAGTGGCAGTGCAGGGAGGGGCCCATGCATGACAGAGGCTTGGACCAGAGGGACCGAGGGATTCGGCCTGGACGCAGGGGAGCAGCAGATCTGTGCTGCAGGCTGGAGCCCCGCATCGAGCAGGGAGAGGGATTCGGCCTGGGCGCAGGGGAGCAGCAGATCTGTGCTGCAGGCTGGAGCTGATCTTGGCTGTTTGGGTCCTGTAGCTGGGTTTGGCCCTTTGATGGGAAGGCGCCACGGCGGACGCTGGCTGGCCCCACAGTGTGGGAGGTGGCAGTGGGCAGCGCTGGGCACTTGGCAGCGAGCTGGGGCTGGAAGAGGTGGGCTGGACTGGGTGGGAGAGATGGCCATGCTGGCAGGGGGGCTGTGCCACGGGCGGGGAAGGGCGTCCTTACCTGTGGCTGGCGGGACGTTGGCTCCCACTGTCCCCGTGGCGCTGGGTGGTGGGGGCGGAGGAACCAGTCTGCTGTGGAAACAAAGCGAGGGCAAGGGGTCAGCAGTGATCGGGGGAGGGGGCAGATCTGTGAGCTCTGGAGGCAGAGCCCAGCAGGGAAGAGCCTTAGGTCACCACAGGCAGCCCCCGCTGCTCCCCGATCTCCCCCTGGCCTTCACCTTCCCCCCGTCCCGTGTGCTACTCAGTGCACAGCACGGGCCCCGGCAAGATGAGAAGCCCCGTGGGGCCAGTGGCCCCCGCCCCGCCCGAGAAGGGCGGGAGAGAGGAATGTTCCATCCCAGGACCCGTAGCACAGCAGTCAAGTGACTGACCCAGCATCACCCAGGGAGTCTGTGTCAGGACCAGGACTCAAACCTGAATCTCCTGAGTTCCAGCCCAGTGCCGCACTACAAGGGCGCACGTCTGCTTAACGACGGCAAATACAGTCAGCTGCCCCCAGAGGCTGCAGGACCCACGGGCAGGCTCCCCGACTGCTCCACCCCTCCCCGATGGCAAGAGCTAGATGAAAACTGGCCACATAAGCAGGACGCCAGAAAACGGGGCTGCTGGCCCGGGGACGTTCGCAGAAAGCGGCATCAGCACGTCCTGGGAAACTTCCATTTGTTGTTAAAAAACAAATGTCCTCAAGCCAAATATTTCCTCATGCTTGTCCCTGCGTGTGTGTAGTTCCTCGCGGGAACGTTAGTGCCACTTCCTAGCTAGATGAAAACTGGCCACATAAGCAGGACGCCAGAAAACGGGGCTGCTGGCCCGGGGACGTTCGCAGAAAGCGGCATCAGCACGTCCTGGGAAACTTCCATTTGTTGTTAAAAAACAAATGTCCTCAAGCCAAATATTTCCTCATGCTTGTCCCTGCGTGTGTGTAGTTCCTCGCGGGAACGTTAGTGCCACTTCCTATGGGGGCCTTGGGCCCCCCTCCCTCAGATAGACCCCCACACCAGTGCCCAGGTTGAGAATGCATCTTAGCATGCCCCTCCCCGTCACACCATGCCTCCTCCCAGAGCCTGCACCCCCATCTCCTCTCCTCACACTCCCTTGCCCTGCTCTCTTCAACCCCAAACTGCACCCCTATCCCCTGCCCCAGCCCAGAGCCTGCCCCTCACCCCCTTCAGGCCCCAAACTCCCTCCCAGATCCTGCACCCCGTCCCCTGCCCCAGCCAGAGCCTGCACCCAAACTCCCTCTCAGAGCCTTGGGCAGGTGGGAGGGGTGGGGCTCTGGGCACCATCAAAATTCCTGCAAACCCACAGCCCCGGCTGGTGCTGGCTCCCCACTCACGGTGGGTCCAGGCCAACGTAGCGCACGCGAGGGGGCTCCTGTGCCCATGCTGCAGGCTGTGCCAGGGGCGGCCAGGGGGGGCTGGGATATGGGGCATAGTGGTGGTGAAATACCAGATCTGCTTCTTCGTCCTCAGCAAGCAGGGGGAGCAGCTTCACCTGCAGGGAAGGAGCAAACGATGCCTGGGGTGCTCCTTGCTCCGGCCTCTGCTCCGCAGCTTCCCCTGCCTCAGGCCTTGTTTGCAGAACTGACCCCAGCCTAGACGAGTCCCCACATTCACGGGCTCTGCTGCGCCCAGCTGGGCCTGCCAGCTGCTCTGCCAGCTGGTGGCCCTGACCTCATGCTGTAGCATGAGCGTGGTGGGGCCAGCAGCTCTTCCCGGAGCCCCGTGCGGTGATGACACGGGGCTGCAGAGCCAGAGGGAACTGCAGGGTCTGTGTGAGTCCCACAGCTGGGTAAGAAATCCTCCGGGTACAGTCGGCAGGTACACTGGGATCACCTAGTCCCACCTGTGCCGCGGGCTGCAGGGCCCAGCTCCCCACGGTAGGGTTGCCAGGTATTTTCTGATTTTTTTCCCCTGCCAGGAGGCAAAAATACCTTCCACCTGACAACCCTACACACACTCAGCAGCCAGGCCCAGGCCCAGGCCCAGGCCCAGGCCCAGCCCCCGGGCCTTCCCGAGCTCCCCACCCCCCGCTTACCTGGTTCCGCAGGGGAGCTCTCTTCCAGCACAGAGTAAGAAAACAAGATGGCCACTGGCAAAAAAAAAAAAAAAAAAAAAAAACCCCCAAAATCTGAAAGGGGCCATGCTGGGTTTTTTGTATTTTTTTTCCCCTCAGTAAATGTCAGGGTCCTTTTTTTTCCTCAACAACTTTGGTCTCCCCCTTTTTTCCCCTCAGTGTTTTTTTGGGGGGCAGCTGTTCAGTATTTTTGGTTAAACTATCTGGCAACCCTACCCCTGGCCTCCCCTGCATGAAGTAGTGCGGCGCTGTCAGAAACCACGCCTTGGATTTAAAATGGCCGGGGTGGTGAAGCCGCCTCAGCCCTTGGGAAGTTGCTGAGTCTGCCCGTGCTGTGCCCTGGGGGTCCCGGCTCAGGAGCTGCGCTGGAGCTGCCAGACCCTGGAAGTCCCCTTGGCTCCTCAGGCGAGGGGCCAAGCGCCATAGGTGGAGGGGCTGAGCTGGCTGGGGAGGGTGCAGAGCGCACCTTTCCTTACAGCCCCCTGGGCTAGGATGTGAGCTGGCGTTTGCTCGTGCCCAGCCACATGGGTCGGAGGTGGTGGAGAAGCTCACAAAGGCCCAGCTGGGGGCTGTTCTCTGGGGCAGGGTATTGTGATTTGACTGGCTGATTTTAAATTGAGCCATTCAGTGGTTATAAGCTAGGCATCCTGCTGGCTGACATCCTGAGTGTCACAGGACTGGCTGGCTTTGTGCTCCCCCATTGGCTGGCCAAGCACCGCACTGCTCCCTGCCTCAGTTTCCCTCACCAGGGCTTTCTCTCCTGGGGAGCCCCATAGGGTGGCTAGCTGGTTAAGTCACCTCCGGAGTTCAGTTCCTTTGTGGGATACCAAAAATCCAAACAAAAGATCCTCCCCCTCCCACTGGGGCTCCTGAGCATCCCCCCCTTGGGGATCCCTTCCCATCTTCCCTGCTCTGGGAACCAGCCCTGACCCCAGGCTGCTTCCACGGAGTCTTCCTGACCTGTCTTGGGGCCTGGCTTCCTCACAGCCCTTTTGTGAGGCCCACACGCTTGTCCCTTGCCCCTCACACTGGAGGTAAAGGATAACGAGGCAGGTCAGGACCCTAGGATAGCTCCTTTTAACTATCCAGTCTTTAGGTGCGTCTAGTTCTGCCTACTTGCTTTTCCCTTTGATTTCTTCATGCCCTCTGCTCCTTGTTTCCCGACCCCTTCCTTTTTTTTCCTCCCCCCCTTTCCCTTCTCCCCTATTGATTTTGGGTCTGCACATCCTAAACTCAGAACTCCACTCATCTGAAGAAGTGGGCGGTGCCCGTGAACGCTCACGATCCCAGCTACAAGTTTTCTTAGTCCATAAAGTGCTACCAGACCATTGGTGGTTTTTTAAGTTTATCCTGCACAGACTAACTCGGCTCCCCCTGATGCCCCTGTAATTTTTCAGTTCAGCTGGGGCTGGTCCCTCAAGTCCCATGGGATTTTCTGGGGTGGGTTACCTCAAGTTTTAATCAAGAGCTATGTGTGGCTTTAGGGCAGGTGAATTCACCAGCGACACCCTGGGATTCTTCTCAAGTCTGGGCCCTTGGACTCGGCTGCTCCTGTAGCACAAAAGCCAGTTCTCTGCAGCCATCAGCTCGAGGAGAGGAGCTGGAGTCTGCTCCTTCTTGGGCATCATCCCCAGAACTGGGGGCTCCAGCCTCTTCCACAGGGCAAGAGCCACTGACGACAATGGGGCTGTCCAGGGTGCTCAGGGTGGGGGCAGATTTGGCATTAAAACTGGTGCTGGAAGCAAGGAAGAGACCTGGCTTGACTCTGGGAGCCCCGGGGAGTTTGCAGCATCTAGGTGGAGGGTGGACTAGATGGACTCTGCTGTCCCTCCTAAGCCTGGGGCTCTAGGAGTCTACGTTTCCTCCCTCACACTTGACCCGGAGCCATGGAAACTGCCCTGTTGGAGGACACAGCCGCAGGCCACTGGGCCCCGTGTGGGTACGGAGCGGGGACCTCCCTGATCACAGCCGCGCAGAGGACCCTGCTTCATCCAGGCCCCACGGGGATGGGGATGAGTCGGGCATGACCGTCATTAGCCACGAACACGGGCCACAGAGCGAGCCGGGAGGCTGCAGGTGGCACAGCTGATGCATCCACCAAAAGGGAAACATTGGCTGTCCCTGTGGAAATGACTCTCAGGGGTTGAATCCATGATTTAATTAAACCCTTGAGCTATGTCTACACTGGCACGATCTTGTGCCAGAAATATGCAAATGAGGCTAAGCGTGGAATATTGCTGAGCCTCATTTGCATATCTAATGGGCCGCCATTTTGCAGAAGAGGCTCTTGTGCAAGAAGGAGCGTCTACAGTGCCCCTTCTTGCACAAGAAAAACCCTCTTGTGCAATGCTGTTACCTGGATTATTTTCAGGAATAACGGCATTGCACAAGAGGGTTTTTCTTGCACAAGAAGGGGCAGTGTAGACGCTCCTTCTTGCACAAGAGCCTCTTCTGCAAAAATGGCGGCTCATTAGGTATGCAAATGAGACTTGGCGATATTCCACGCTTAGCCTCATTTGCATATTTCTGGCACAAGATTGCGCCAGTGCAGACACAGCCTTGCAGTGCTATTATGTGAATAGATTGCTTCCATCCTCGCTGTGCAGCCAATGCACAGTCCTGCTGCATTCACCTGCTCAGCTGGCCTGGCGCACGTCCACACTGCCCTCTTGAGCAGGAGGACTTACACCTGTTAGAGCAGAGCGTAGCTCTCGCGCAAGAAGCCCTCTCTTCCCACGCTTTCCTGTAACTCTCCTGCACAAGAGCGAGTGGGCAGCGTGGCCGCTCTGCGGAAGAAGGGCCCTTCTTGTGCAGTAACCTGCCAGTGGAGACAGTACGGACAGTGCTCCCAGTGCACAGGAAACCACCCCTAGCAGCGTGGCACCAGCAGAGCTGGTCCTGACGCTGCCCATCCCGAGGGCCTGGCACAGGCGCGCAGTGGAGCACAGAGCCCCCAGCATGTGCCAGGCCCCGCGGCCACTGCACTCACCACCCCTGGGCTGCGGCAGAGAAGCGGGAGCCGAGACTGTTGTTGGACTCGGCTTCCCCTGCCCTGCCGGGCTGTGGGGGAAGGGAGCCATCGCCAGCTGGCAATGCCCCAGCCAGAGGCCGAGCTGCTCCCCTCCAGCCCGCCATGCACAGGCGGCCAGCGGGAAGCTGCTCACACCCGGCCTGCCCTGGGGAAGGTGCCCACAGGCCTAGCTCCTTGTGAAAATGTGTCTCCCTCTCAGCTGCCCTGACAGGCCACAAGCTGGAGCAGCAACGGGCAAGCCGGGGTAGCGAGTGGGCTGCACGAGTGGCCACCCTTCAACTCAACGGGCCGCAAGATCGTCAGTGTCCTGGGCGAGGCCAGTTCTCACCCCTTGACCCCTAGTTGGTGGCGGTGCCGGAGCAGAGGGAGCGCCCGGCTCTCACTGGCAGCGCTGGGTGCAATCAGCGCGCAGCCCACGTCACCTGCCCCGGCCGTGCGCCTGTCGCTCTAGTGACAGCGCCAGGAAAAACCCACGTGGGCGGGGCCCAGCAGAATCTGGCAGCCTGTCTATGGACACCAGTGACTGAATGTCTCGGGGCCACACAAAGAACCCCCATGGACCCCGTGCCCTTCGAGCCACAGGTCCCGTCAATGGGGTCGCAGTGCCGGGAGATGGGAGGGGGACACGCACTGGCTGGGCCCATAACCGCAGCTCCTGGGCTCAATGAGACAGGTGTCCGGCCGCTGTCTCCCCTGGGCTGCCTGGTAACATCCTGAGCTCTAAACCTAGGTCTTGGCAAGAGCAGGAATCTGCCCCGCTCCGACGGGTGCGATACCGTCCCCATAGCACCACGGGCATAAGGCACCGCTGCCTAGGGGTGTCCCCTGGGCCCGGCAGGAAGGAGGGTGCACAGCTCTGGGCAGGTGGCTTCTCAGGTGCCAAGTGGGAGCCCCTAGGGTCACACCAGTGACACCAGGGCAGCATGGGGGTCAGCACAGGCTGTACCAACCCACCAGGGCTCCTGGAAGATTCCCGGGGCACATGCCTGGGCCCCATGGCCCCAGCTTCTGAGCGAGGGTGCAGAAAGCAGCTGCCATTGCACAGAGCCTGAAAGGCTTGCCCGCCTGCATGGCATCCTGGCGTCAGAGCTCGGGACCAGCCAAGGGCTGTGTCTCGGGGCTGGGTGTGGGGGGAATTTTTCCCCCAAGTCATTTGTCTGGGTGTCAAGATGGACAGGAGCAGCTTGGGGGTCTGTTGGACTCGCTGACCAGGCCGCTATCCAGGAGTTCCCATCAGTCCTGGCTTGGTGACGTAATTAGAGAATCTACCACCAGCTGGCGTGTCTGCTCTGTCCCGAACTCTCGCCTGGAGGCCGCTTGCACAGTCGGTCCAGGGCTCCTCCAGACAGCGTGACAGCCTATCGGACACACACACCTGGGCAGCTGGGAGCGCTGGGCTGTATCCAAAGGAAGCCAGTGCAGACAGCGTCATGTTGTTCAGGATCACCTGGTGCATCTGGGCATTTTGTATCATCATTAACTCTACCAGATCTGCCAAGGTACAAGCAACAGGAACCTCGCTCTAGTGATGGATTAGAACCAGAGTTCAGAGCCTATTGGCTCGGAGCCACTGACGGGGTCAGACTGACAAATGTCCAGCCATTTGCTGACTCTTAGAATCCTAGGACTGGAAGGGACCTCGAGCGGCCATCCGGACCAGTCCCCTGCCCCCATGGCAGGACCCAGCACTGCCTAGATGAGGGGTGGGGACCATTTTTGAGTTGGGGCCGCTGATCCACTGAAAAACCAGCCAGGGGCTGCACACAAGCGAGAAGCCCCTGACTGCGAAGGAAAGGCACCGCTCACAATCCCCTCGCACACCAGTCCTGTGGGTGGGAGGGCAGGCGGCTAGAGCAACAGCACAGGCTCCCCAATGTGTGGGGGATCCCTGAGCCCTGGGGGCCAGATCCAGGCAAGCCAGCAGCCACATCCAGCCCCCAGGCCTGAGGTCCCCTCCCCCCAAGCTAGAGCATCCCCGATAGCAGGTCAGATAGACATCTCAAATATCTCCAGAGAGAGATCCCACAACCCCCCTGGGCGACATTCCAGTGTTTCACCCCCCTGACAGGCAGGAAGTTTTTCCTAATGTCCAACCTCAACCTCCCTGGCTGCAGTTTAAGCCCCTTGGTGCTTGTCCTGTCCTCAGAGGCCAGGAAGAACAACTTTTCCTCCCTCCTCCTTTCAAGTATCTATCCCCTTTTCGATACTTGAAAACGGCTCATATCCCCTCTATCTTCTCTCTTCCAACTAAACAAGCCCAGTTCTTTCCGTCTTCCCTCATAGCTCCTGTTTTCCAGACCTTGAACCTTTTTTGTTGCTCTTGTGCCTGGAGCGCCTAGAGGCCCCATAAGAGGCTGTTCATTGTGTATCAGAGCTTGAGGGATGTGGCCATTCCTTTGCTGGGTCAGGAATTCCCAGGCTTTGGTGTCAGCTGGGAGCTCTAAGAGCATGAAGCCATATGTTCAGAAACAGTGGCCAGCGTGAAGGAAGCCTCAGAGCAGCTGGAACGTCTGGGAGCAGCTGAGTCAGCGATGTTAACCTGGGTGTGTAACGCTTCTCAGAGGTAACCAGGGTGAGGAGGCACCTTGCTATGGTCATGGCCCCCCCAAGCGTCATGAAATGGGCTTAGAAATACGAATGCCAAAGACAGCATGTAACACTTCATTTTTAAAGTTACAGTCGGTGACTGTATATTCTATTTCTGTGCATGTATCATGCTTGCATGGGAAGTTAGAAATATGTAATTGAAACCTACTGAAAGCCATTAGTGGCACTTAAGGAAACTTAATGGCCCAGTGCTCATGACTTTTCCCCCCTGTAAGCCCAAACTGTGGTTGGTCCTAGAAAGACATGTGACCATGCCACCTGATGTTGGAACCCATCTTGAACCTGATATTTTTCCATGGGGATAGGGAGATCAGACAAAGGGCTCCCACCCTGGGGATAGTCTGTTTAAGGAATGGAAAACAGTAAGTCTTTCATCTTCAGCTGGCGTTTGAAATTGCCTCCTCATTTAAGAGGATACTGATGAAGAAACATGAAAACTTAACACTCTGAAGAACTCTAAAAAGCTGTAGACCCAGGCTAGAGAAAGAAATCAACTGTGTCTTGAGGAATTTTACCTGGAATAAAGACAAGGGGGAGGAATAGACCATGAAACATTTCTTTCGAGTGTAGGATTAGCTGGGGTGTTTTGTTTACCTTGGCTTAGTAACTTGCTTTGATCTGCCTGTTTTCACTTGCAGTCACTTAACTCCCGGGTTGCTCTGCAGCGGGGCATTAACCCCGACTCTGCGCCTTGACTGGGGGAGACCAGAGCTTCTGGCCCAGCAAGGCAGGGTGGTGGGCGCCCAGAGAGCAAGTAGGAGAACTCAGTGGCATGACCAGCTCTTGGGGTGACAATGCCAAGGAGACCCCTGTGATCCGCTCATCACAGCTACCACCTGCTCTTAGCGTGAGGGCAAGGGCAGAGTTTCGGGTTTGCTTTTCTTCCCGTTCCCCAGACTACCAGGGAGAGAGGGGAAAGTACTCGCAGTCCTTGATTTACTGCTCTGTCTCCTCCCTTCACCAACTGGGCGTGAGAGGCCTGCATAGACAGCAAGCACTTTCCCCTCTTGCCCTGGTAGTCCAGGGAACAAGAAGGTAAGCAAACCGCCTCCTGGTGCGCACGGCCGCTGCTCCTGTGCAACTTGGATCCTGTGTGAGGGAGGCCTGGTCTGTGCCTGCCTGCACTCTGCTCCCCGCCTCCAACACAAGCCTTGTCTCTGCTGTCAGCAATAGCACCTGCCCCCCCCCCCCAGGTGTCTCTCCCCTGCCTGCTCGCAGAATTCCCAGAGCTGCCGTTCCCAATGGAGCCGTGCACCACAGACTCCTAGGGACACCGCAGGCCCACAGCACTTAGCGTTCGTGGGGAAACATGTTTAGCAGAGATTCAAGTAATAGCAAGAGGGTGGAAGTATTGAAACAACCGGCTCCACATGTGCCTTCTAGCACTTAGACTTTCCTCAAGCCCCTGCCTTGTGCTGGTTCGCACACCCACTGTCTTCCTCCCAGAGTTTGACAGACACCTGGTTGCCAGGCAAAGGACACTGGGTGTGTCTGCATTCTCCTGAGATACCGCACTAAGGGCTTGTCTAGGCTGGAAATGCGACAGCAGCACAGCTGCGGGGCTAGCTACAGCGGTGGGGTGGGGGGGTGTTCTCTTGCTCGCATAGCTGAGCCATCTCCCCAAAACAGCTAGAGAGGGACGAATTCTTCCATCAATCTAGGCTGTCTCCATGGAGGGTAGATCGGTAGCGGGGCGAGAGGGTTTTCACACTCCTGAGCAGCGTGGTTACAATGACTAATGTATCTAGTGCAGACCAGGCCTAACTCGGATTTTAGCCATTCCCAGGACAGCCCCCTACTGCGAGTTCCTCCCTCTAGATTTCCTAATCGCTCCTCAGCTTGGCAATGGTGATTGGCTCGTGGCTGCCTATGCAGATTGACTATGTTGTAAGACACACACTGCACAGCCAGAAAGAGAAACCTCTTGCCCCCTGCCTGAACATCATGTTTGGGTGACCTAACGGACACACCTTCAGAGCACAGCATTCAGTATGGACACCTGCCCACCTCCTTAAACCTCAGCCAGACACAGGGACCAGGACCTCGGTGCCATGAAGTGCCACATGGGCATTAGATGCCCCCAGGGGATCTCTGGAGCCCACCTGCACCCTCCATGCCAGGCCCAGGCAACGTATGGGTCACGAGTCTCTGCTTTAAAGGGGTCAATGTGCCCTGTTTAGCCATTTGCAAGTAGCCTAAGATATTCCTCTAACACATTGTCCTGGCTGGGTTGTAGCATTTGGATTTCAGACTGAGTATAGAATTATAGAATCCTAGGGCTGGAAGAGACCCCAGGACATCACTGAGTCCAACCAAAGCAGGACCAGCCCCAACTCAATCATCCCAGCCAGGGCTTGCCCAAGCCTTAAGAATCCCATGGAGATTCCACCCCCTCCCTAGAGAACCCAAGCTAGACCTCCCGCACTGCAACATGAGACCATCGCCCCTCGCTCTACCATCTACCACCACTGAGAACAGCCTCTCTCCAGCCTCTTTGGAACCTCCCTTCAGGGAGTTGCAGGCTGCTCTCAAATCCCCCCGAACTCTTCGCTTCTGCAGACTAAAGAAGAGCAAATCCCTAATCATTTCAGTTGCCCTCCGCTGGACCCTCTCCAATGAGTCCACATCCTTTCTGTAGTGGGGGGCCCAGAACTGGACATAATCATAGAATACTAGGACTGGAAGGGACCTTGGAGAGGTCATCGAGTCCAGTCCCCTGCCCTCATGGCAGGACCAAATACTGTCTAGCCCAGGTGTTCTTAAACAGTGAGATGCCTCCTAGAAAATTTATCACAATTGCCTTCTCACTGGATAAAATTCTAAAGTTTAGATTTCTTCATAATTAATATTATGAATTAATTATAAACATTAATTTCTTATTAACTTCTAGAGATCAGCACACTACAATAGCAGTGCGAATCAATCCGGCCTATGTGACGACACACTACAACAACAGTACGCAAGCATTGCCGACTTTCATCTGCAAATATTACGTAAATTTGTTAGGAAAAAGTTCAAAGTAAAAAGCTCATACTATTCATTTCAGCATCGTAACGGGGGTCACGCCCCCCACAGCGCCACCAGCTGTCAGACTTGGGAATTAGCTCGGACGGCTGCGCCCAGCTGGCTCACCAGGTCCCAGGGTTCAGGCAGGCCTTGGGGTTTGAGCCAGGCCTTCAGCTCAGGCTGGTCCTCCGAATCGCCAGGCACCAGTAGAGCCTTGGGCTCCTCTGGGTCAGAGGTAGCCCTGCTGGCCGGCTTGGCCAGGCCTCGGCAGCCCAGGCAGGGAAGCCTTCACTGGCCTGAGGGAAGGCGGCTGTGGGAGGCCTGGGCCAGGTCTCAGCCTCGTCAGCCAGGAGCTCTGGGCAGGCCTCTGTCTCCCTCCAAGGCTGGGCCCCGACTGAGCTCCCTGGCAGAGTTCTTATAGTCCTAGCCACGCCCCTTAGCTTCCTGTCAGGTGAGGGGGCGGGGCTAGGCTGTGCACAAAATGGCTCCCAGGGGGTGTGAACATGAAGTTCACTCTTAGGGGGGAGGTGTGACGGTAAAAAGGTTCAGAACCCCTGGTCTAGACCATCCCTGATACACATTTATCTAACCTACTCTTAAATATCTCCAGAGATGGGGATTCCACAACCTCCCTGGGCAACTCATTCCAGTGTTTAACCACCCTGACAGTTTGGGACTTTTTCCTAATGTCCAACCTAAATCTCCCTTGCTGTAGTTTAAGCCCATTGCTTCTTGTTCTATCCCCAGAGGCCAAGATGAACAAGTTTTCTCCCTCCTCCTTATGACACCCTTCTAGATACTTGAAAACGGCTATTGTGTCCCCCCTCAGTCTTCTCTTTTCTAAACTAAACAAGCCCAGTTCTTTCAGCCTCCCTCTTAGCTCGTGTTCTCTAGACCTTTAATCATTCTTGTTGCTCCTCTCTGGACCCTCCCCAATTTCTCCACATCTTTCTTGCTGGGCTGTTTGCAATACTCCAGATGAGGCATCCCAGTGCCGAATAAAGGGGAATAATCACTTCTCCAGGTCTAGTGGCCTCTGATCAGCTGCACTGATCTTGTTTCATGTTGTAATTTCTTACCCTCTCGGATGTGTCCCGGTCTTACAGGCTGAGCGAAAGGAGACAGGAGCCCAGGGATCTGCTGAAATATCGTCACCGGCTGCTGTGGAACCTAGAGAAGAGAGCGAAGAGCAACTCACCGGAGAGGGTTGGAGGGCAATTGGGAAGGAGGGGCTGGTGGGGGAGAAGGGCTGCACCATAGCCCCAGCCACAGCCTTCCCTTTGGGGGGCTAGCCCCACTCTGAGCACAGAGCCAGCCTGCATCTGGGAGGGCTCCGTACAGGGCAGCATGGCCGAGAGCTCTGGGGCAGGCCTAGCCCCAGCCCTTAGCCCTCCCACACCTGGCTCCCAGCTCCCCTCCCCGCACAGGGCTACCAGATGCCTGGCCGATTTTGGGGGGGATTTGCCAGAAAAACAATCTAAGGTGTGGGGGAGGGGCTGTCTCTGGCTTCGACCCATCGTCCTTGCTCACGAGCGCTCAGTGTTTGTGTCCTGCTGGAGCCCCGCCGCGGTCCCATTGCCTCAGTGCAGGCGCTGCCCAGCCGGCCGGAGCCCCACTCCCCGCACAGGGCTACCAGATGCCTGGCCGATTTTGGGGGGGATTTGCCAGAAAAACAATCTAAGGTGTGGGGGAGGGGCTGTCTCTGGCTTCGACCCATCGTCCTTGCTCACGAGCGCTCAGTGTTTGTGTCCTGCTGGAGCCCCGCCGCGGTCCCATTGCCTCAGTGCAGGCGCTGCCCAGCCGGCCGGAGCCCCACTGCGGTCCCATTGCCTCAGTGCAGGCGCTGCCCGGCCGGCCGGAGCCCCACTGCGGTCCCATTGACCGCCTGGAGGGGCCG